TGTTGTTCCAGACTATATTCTACATCCATGTTAAAGTTCACCGAGATCCATTGAGCCGCTCTAGAACATTTGTATTAATAATATTAGTAAGAAGTAAAATAGATATCATCCTAAACAGAATATAACCCGCACTGTTCGGTGATTCAGCCACGATGTACATATAAATACTGCTTGTACATGTCTGTACGTCGCAACGTGAAAGTATGCATCAGAGCTCTGAGCAGACGCCGCCGAGTGCAATGTTCTGCATGCACCATTAATTCTGTTCTACACAGATAACTTATACTACATTGCATAGAAAATGGGATTCTTTTTATTACATACAAATATGTAACTATGTTCGACTTTTTGCACATAGAAAAAACCATTATCGATTCTAAGGGTAGTTGAAAATACATCTTGGTTACATCAAATAGATATTTGTAATGTTAAAATTTAAATCAAGAAACAACATTTTAAAGATTACGATACATCTTTTTAAATCAATGAATTTGTACTTCGAGACGGCATGAAATACTTTTTTGTAATCTTACTGATGTTAGTAATCCAAATTTTTGGATGATGGATTGTTTGAGGGTATCCCAAAACAGCTGAATGGATCTCCATAAAATTGGGCACACATATAGTGATCTGGCAGAACATATAGGCTACTTACTATGTTTTTTAATTCTGCTAGTAATTAATAAAAACTGTATTTTTCGATTTAATATACTATAAATGTTATATTTTCTAAGTTGTGTTTAGAGATATTAAATATGATTACTACTCAACAATTGTTATCGCATTTTACTCGAACACATCCTCAATAATATAAATTATAGTTGGATAAGGAAATTAATTAAATGCACAAGACGAAGTCCAAACAAAGATAACGTAATTGTACACTATAATATTGACATCAAGTGTAAGATTGCAAAAATAGTTAATATTAGTATTTGTTTTTAAAAATATACTTTTTACGAAAAAGGCTTGCTTAAAATAGCTGAGCACCTTTTATTCCGTGGGAACTATTATTTAAAAAAAAACAAGCGCCATTATGCCACGATGCGGCAAATTCGAAATTTAAAAAAGGAAGCGACGTTATGAACAGAAAAGCTGTTAGTCTCGATAACTCTGAATGGTTAAAATTTAAATCCTTGCAGTACTGCAGTATGATTGAAATAAATTATTTTTAGTACTAAATTTCATTGTACGATCAAAAAAGGAATTGTACATTTAAAAGTATATGAAATTGCCTTTAGACACGCATAAGTAATTTTTACCAAATGTGGATGGGATGGACTAAAAAGGTTTGTGATCACTGTTTTAAAGCACGCGATGTTTGTAAATAAGCGGAAAATTATATATTGCCTGCTTGAAACCAAACCATTTGTATCTACATATATTTCCATTTACAGTTCTTCAATCAATGTTTACGACAACGATTTTTTATATTATTTTTATGTAAAATAAATTTTTACAAGGTTTATGGTTTCTTGACTTTTAACCATAGACAGATCTTCTATATCATGACTGATATATGATTAAGCACGGTGTAAGGTTATAAGCAAGCGCGACGTTCCTTTTTGTCTTCATTTTATATTTAACTTTTGTCTATTACGTACCAAAATTACGACATTGCAGTATGATATTAACGAGACTTAATTAGCCTGTTCAAATTCGGCGCCTAATATGTCTTAATGTAACATTTATTTGTGAGGAATGTTGCATCTGCGGTTAACAGCTGCGCGACCAGTTGTGGAACACCTGACGTCAACCTTTCCTCATCCTGTTCTTAGTCACATATCTGTATATTTTGTTCCAGTCAAGATTTTGTGTGCATTGCGAAACACAACGGCCCGCAAGCCGCACCTAATATGGTTCAATATAACATTTTATACACAACAGTCATACTATTGTAATCCAATTGAACTCTGCCAACTATCTTTGTATGTGATGGAAGGCAAGGATTTAACCAATTTCGTTTCTTAATGTTTAACTATAGGTTAATAATTTTAACATTTCCATTCATAATGTTTTTTTTATATTATAAGGAGGCACACGGCCGAGCGGCCACCTGAAATCGCTGAAATAGCGAAGTGACCGTTGCCCATAGACATACGCAATTGCATATGCGTTGCCTACCTTTAATACCATAATGATCGATTGTCTGACGATTTTATTAATGTTCTAAATTTTTGCTTTGGTATTTCCAATGAAAAAGGTAAAGCCGAAAAAGATACAAAACTAGTGCTATACTGGTACTTCGCTTGTTCTCTAAACAAAGTCCACATTTTTATTTCTTTAAGTTTACCAAGGGCGAAAATTATCCTAGCAAAATTTTATCCCTACGTTTTATCGTTCAGAAATAACGAAAAAGTTTTCATTTAAAAATTTCAAATTTAGAACATTAGAAGAGCTGTCCGATTATGGTTCGAGGTTATGTAAAACGTGACTGTACCAGACACAGGCAATCTGGATGATAAGCATTCAATAGCAGATAGTACACGGATGCGCTCTGGCCGTCGCAATGCCAGTAAAAGCATTATCTCTATGAAAGTTATTGTTTAATGTTGTCAGTTTTACGCTATTTTTTTATACAAGGGTGCCAACACAGTAAGCGGCCACCTAAAATCGCTTAACTAGAGAAATGACTGCTACCATATTAATAGGTCATTCTAGTGTGTGCGCTAATTATATTCCCGTAATGTCCCGAAAGTTTTATTAGGAACCTAAGTAACTATATAAAATGCGTAATAAACTATATTTATTTCATATAATCGATATTTTATAAGCTACAAGATATCCAAAATCATTATGGTGTTTCGAAGTGTACTGAAACTGTTTTTATTCACCCACGTTTGTCCGACCGTCCGCCCACATTATACCATTGGTATAACGAGTCTCTTAAGTGTGTAAGAAGAAGAAGAAAAAGAAGAAGAAGAAGATATATAAATGTTATGTGTGATGTTTATATAAGACATTAGATAGTGACCTTTACACCTTGAATATACTAAATAACAGTGGATGTGACCCTGTTTTCATGGAACAATGAACACCCTTTATCTAAATATACTCCTAGCTATTAATAAATAAATGTCATACATTATCCTCCATCTCTATGAATAAACAGTTAGTTTTTATTATATAATATTGTTTTATTACATTAAACAGTTATGGCTGAAATAATAATTTTGCAATTGAAAACTAATCTTGTTTACCTTAGGTTGATTTAAAATATTGTTATACATTGAAACATAATAAAGAGAAAACTCAATTCAACAATATCACTAATACTGTAAGGAGACAAAAATGGCGTTGGTCGGGACATATGATGAGAGAGAAGAATGAAAAATGGTCTAAATTAGTCACAGAGTGGTACCCACGAGAGGGGAAGAGAAACAAAGGAAGACAGGTAAAGAGGTGGGAAGACGACCTCAAAAAAGTTGCAGGTCGTTTATGGATTAGAGAAGCCAGGGATAGACAGAAATGGAAATCTTTAGAGGAGGCCTTTGTCCTAGGACAAGCTGTAGATTAAGTATAGCAGTCGCCGGTTCAAAACTATTTTTTGATATATATTACTTAGTGTTAATGTAACTAAAAAAATGTATGAAAATTTGTAAAACTAATTATCTTCAGCAATAAAGGCTTTATTATTATTATTATTTTTATATACTATCAGATTCACTTGAATTTATCCACTCCGAAATATTAAACACTATTGCAACGGGGATAATGTAGCTTCCCACCAGGGAAATTACTTTTCTTTGGTTCAATAGTTTCCGAGCCTATTCAATTCTAACAATCAGATCATTCAATCAAGACAAACTACGGTAAATTTGGTCAATAATTACCTAAATTGTTTCAAGAAAAGATTAATAATGTGTTTGAAAGAATAAATATAATGTGATTTAATAGTGCAAAAAAAAAATCAAAATCTTTGGTCAATGTTATGTACGAACCCCTAGTACCCTGTATGTGGGAGACAAATAAACATTTATGACCAACAGCATGATCTATCATAATATAGAAACAAATATTCAAGTCAATATTGCGGTCAACAACCAGATCTATATGAAAATATAAAACAGTAGTTTTCTGTTGGTGATCAAATCAGAACTCTTTAGATTTATTTAATCATTATTTTTATATTTTTAAATTTAGAATGTTTTTTTTTTTTTTTATTATTACTAAATGTTAGTTGTAAATATATATTATACTGTGTGCTAATCATTTCTTTTCTCCCTTTTATTTAATTAGTCATTTCAACTTTTATTCTTTTTCAAATCTTTCCTATATTTACCGCTTGTGTTTTTCCTTCCTCTATCATTTCCTTTTATTTATTAATCTTTCATTTAATAGCACAATAAGTGAAAAAGGCAACACTATCTTAACATTTTGTTATCAGTAATGTGTAATCTTTACTGATATGGATAAACATCCTTTGATAAGAGTATGCAAGACTTGAAAATAAAACAAGATTGTTATCTGCTTTCATACAGTGTGTTTGTATGCATAGTTTTGTTGCTTTTTGATTGACATTTCCTGCTCTTGCTAATGAGCTATGCTAATGAAAAAAAAAATAGGAAACAATATGAAAAAAGTAAAATTTTACATGAAAAAGAACACTTAGAGAAATTACAGGTTAAAGTTATAAATTCAGTAAGTTTTGTGGCAGAGAAGAAAACAGGTAAATTATAATTTTGAACTGAGAAAAAAGTTGTTGATTATGTGTAACACTTGCTTAATTAACATATGCAAATTGTGTTAAGTTGTATAACTTAACATGCAAGAAATTTCCTTGAGCTGTCCATTGTGACTTAATAAAATGACAATTGTGGAAATATCAATAAAACAAAAACAAAAAAATACTGCAATTGTATAAATTGTTCATATCTATTTTGTAAAAAAAAATATTTCTTTGAAGGTAGGTTTAAACATAAAGTTAATAGTAGTAAGAATAAAGTTATACTTTAGTGTCGTGTAGTGTTCTTTGTACAAAACAACAATGTATGACTCACCCGCTGCAGCTCTAGGGAGTGTTGGTAACATCTGAGAAGTTTGTCCACCAAAGGTTTGACGGCACGCCAAGCTCGTTCCTGAGTTATTCGCGAAGGATCCGCTATAGCTTCTCGAATTTCTTTCCCAGCTCCTTTATAACACTGTATCTCCTCTAAAATTCTTTCAGAATCCAATAAAACTCTTTGGACTTCTTCGAAAACATCTCGTTCTGTATCCGTGGGCGCTGCATTCTCGAAATCCAAGAAAATATCGTATCGTGGCGACGAACAGCAATTCGACTCGTCGCGTGCCAAAAGACTCAACAATTTTCCCATTTTAATGAATTAAAAAATGATTTATTTCAGTATATTATAAATAACTCATCGGAAGCAATACCAGCATTGCCTGTATAAATTATGTATGAAAGACTAATAAAATGTTCTTTGAAAACACTTGTACGAATTCAATAACTAATTTTATATAATCAATTGTTTAGTATTACAATTATTATTTAAATTAAATTTTAATAACTATAAATGCGAAACACTTGCACGAACACCCGAACACGAACTCAATTGACAGCTACCGAACGTCTCGCGCCCCACCAACTGATTTTAAACCATAGATTACTACAACATTTCAGAACGAACACGCCTTTTCTACAGATAACAAAACTACAACGATTTTTCCCTTTCGATTTATTTCATGAAATCGATATGACTTGTTGTATGGCAGAACTAATCGCGATACCAGCGCCTCCCTAACCACGCTATTGAATAAGAAGAAGTTTGTCACACTATACAGCAATCTAGTCTGTATTACTGCAAAAAATACAGTTTGGCATTGTTTAGTTAGACACCTGTTTTTACCAATTGATCACCTAATTAATGTTATCAACATAAATGTGGTTGTAACACAACATGTTTTGACTTTACATATGTATGATAAAAACTGTTTCCTTTGTTATTTATTTGTCAAGATCAAAATTTCGGAAGCCTACGCATTTAATTATATTTCAATAAACATGATTTCAGGTAATGTCCAACATTATCGTGTTTACTTATTTACTTTGATTTTCTGAAGATCAAAGTGAGACTGAGAACTAATTTTGCCATTTCGTCTTTCTCATCATCCTCTTGTTAATTTTTGTACTTTGAATCTTAGATCCCATAACTTTATAAATAAAACTGACAGCGAATTTCGTTATACATGGTGGGCAGAGGAAAGAGAATTGAATTAAAAAAAATACCAGGCATTTATTTATTTATTATAATAATGTATAACATCGACACATTGCCATTAAACATACGAGTGTAATTTACAAATAAGATTTAGTCTCCCTATTTACATATGTATGTATGTATCGTCATTTATTTCATGACGAGTATCCGGTAATCCGTACAATATTGAATGAGTTCGTTTTATCTGCATTTCCAAAGGCAAAAATATAAATAATGTGTGATAAAAAAAAAGAAATATTCTCTATTAAAACTTTAAATTTCTTTAAAATGTATCTACAATAATATCTCACATTTTGATGAATTAAATGTTTATAGGGTTTTATTTTGCACCATTATATTAATTTTAACATACTGCGTGCATCTATAAGAAAATTACAATTCTTAATTACTGTAAATATTTTATCATTTTTCAAATATGATATTTATGGTTTTTTTTACAGTTTTGAAAATTAATAATAAATTATAAGTAATAAAATTGTAATAAATTTAAATCAAACCCAAGCAATTGTTTATTCCGAACGTATGATTAAAGTAAGTCTAGAATATTCAAGCCCCTGTATAAAATTTTCCCTACAGATTAATAGACAAAAGTGGACAGAGCAAGATTTTTTAAATAATTAATTTTATATAAAACAATGATTACTACAAAAACAAGAAAAAGATAATCTATGAAACTTATCAATATCTTAATAATCGTATATTTTTAAAGATCAGTCTAACATTCGATAAAAATTTACAACATTAATTTCTAACGTCTCATATCTGATTAAGGCTAATCACCCTATTTTTAAAAAAGGTCAGAGGTTATAGCTTATTTCATTTATGACTAGAATGCTGTTCGTACATCGTATAAATAAAAAGGTTTTTATCTATAAGGTACTGGCACAAAATGTACACATAAAAGCAATTGGAAAAAAAAATGTTAGGTTAGAACGTTACGATAAAAAGTTATAAACGTTTTAATTATTATGAATATTTTTATTAAATATGGGCTTAAATAATATGCCGCGTTTCATAGAAATAAAAGATGAGAATTATTCAAATTACCTCAATAGGTAAGCTGATATTTTTTTTCAATGATTCTAAGTGTACGTATTAGTTAGGTAATATTTTTTAATATGTTTTAATAACACAATAAAAAGTGACGCTAATAATTAAAGGCTCTGTTATATCTATCATCCAAATACAAATTATACATAAACTTAATTGTAAAATTATATTGAGCATTTTAACATAATCAACATGAAACCTCGCTCCTGTCACTAAGGCGGGAAGGTTTGAATGGTTCCCGCGTATTTATGTCCAAATATTAATGTCTATATGTTTTTTCTGAGTAATTTTCACATATTTTTAATTACCTTTAGAAAGTTCGGCGTTCCCTCACCAACTGTATTTTACGTTGCAGTTATAATCTGATAACAATCATAACATGCATTTTAAAACCATAGACAAAAATAGAAAATAAAAGCTAATCGTAATTTTAAATGACAGTTTTGGTTAAAATAGTAAGGACCTGCTAGCAAATTTAATTTTCATCCAGGTTCTTAGGTAAAACTTAACGTTCAATAATGGTATCGAATTTAGGATTCGCTTTAGGTACCCTAACATCTAGTTAATAACTACTTTACAAATTAACGAATATCTAAAATGAATGAATGAATTTACTTTCAAAAGACACAACAGGAATGCCTATAAATAGAAACGGAAAATATTAAATTACCCTACAATCGTGTAGTTTACAATCCCATTCATGACACAACATTCAATTATAATAATTAATATGATAATTTTCAAATATCTTGGCGGCCCAAGGTCACGTGCGTTGCGCAGGCAACCCCCACAACCCGCTAAAGCCCAATAGTGTTTTGAGCACTGACTCGCGCGAAGTCAAGAGCTGCCAGGATATTTGAAAACGTTTATACAAGTAACATCTACGATACCTACATTCACTAAATTGTAGTCTTACTTATTTGGTGTAAAGATCCGTCTTAATTCTAATTGAAAATGCTGAATTCCAATTGATAAAGCTCATAGTCATTCTGCGTACTGTTCAAATCTTAGGCGCGTTTTCACAAGATTTAATAATGCTATAAACTTATCTGAACTGGTGTGTAGATGTGAAACTAAATGTGTCATTTTCTATTCCTATTGTTGCGATAACATCCCTTATCTTACCGGGCCATTTAAGTTTGTCGCATTATATTTGTTTTAATCCTGTCGTAGTAATAACTGTCCGCTTTTCTTTAAGTAAAAGGCTTTAGTACATAGGAAATTAAAAAGTTCCAAAGTATAAAAAATGAATATTGATTTGTTATTCAAAACAAAACGAAAATACTTAAAAAATTAGATTTATAATACTTTACTTTGAACGCTGTATAAAATCACATATCAAAGTCAAAAAACATTTAGGCCACTAATAAAAAGGGAGAGTTTCAACAGTGCTAAGTAAATTTTTTTTTCAAGATTCCTCAGCAATTAGTGCAAAATTGATAATAAAAATCACAACCAAAGTAAAATTATGTAACTGCTGTACTTAAGAAATTTTGGTGTTATGTAAAACTCCGTACTCCATTGTATAAAACTGTTGAAAAATAATGACAAAATATCGATTAGCATATGACTGGATTATCAGTAGTTTACTAAGCACTATGCAATATGGGTTTTAAGTACGACAGCATTACGATACTAAAACCAGATTGTTATTTACCAAGTTGAGAGTTAAGAAGTTATAGGAAACATTATTTTTTGAGAAAAGAAGTGTAGAAAATAATAAACTATAAGGTTTAGAATTCTATTGTAACTGTAAAAAAAGTTAAGAAAAGAATTTATTGACTGAAAAGTCAGAACAGATAAGAGTTTAGAAGTGCATAAAATTATCGAAAGTATTTAAGTGCGGAAACTAAGAGGAACTTTTCAATGAATAGATCAGAGTCTAGGGCTGCGATGTGTGCGGCACGTCCGACGAGTGCGCTCGCAGTGTGCGGCAATGCGTGTTGCACGTCGTACCGCACCACAGACACAGTAGACGCGCGCGATGCAAGTGGGGACACCATGTTGTGCACCTGGAAGATATACCAGTTAATCAGAACTTTGCCAGGAATGTCACATTGATTGTACCAATTTCATCCTTTTATTACATTTAATCATATACAGTGAGACCAATCGTCTTATTTTTGGCAGTCAGTTTTTCATTATAAATTGGCGGATGACACATTTTTACTATCCCCTAAATATCGGTATCAAATGATAGGATTTGACTAATAGAACAACGTGATAATGATCAATTCAAAACTTAACATTTATTTTCAAAAATAAGAATTTACTGACTTACCATTTCTCTATAAGCTTGACCTAACAACGAAGTATCTTTCGCAGCTGCTTTACAGAGTTCTAATCTTGCGGAATGTAAGGGTACATATCTGTCCTGTCCCGAACCGCAGAGGAGGATATGTTTGAACTGATGCAGCTGACTTCTCTCGCTGAGCCGATAGAGGAAAGACCGACGTGGATCGGACGCGTCACGCAACGATAGTTGCAGGAGGGAACCTGACTTCTTTAATTTCTGCATGAACCACATACCTGCAATTGTGCAGCACATAATTAATATTTGATATCAATGGATGGAATATAGCATTGAGACTAAATCAGAAATCAAGTTTTTGTTATGTTTTTCTTCATTAGAATTTGGCATTAGCCTATAGTATATGTACATCCTATCTGGAGGTTGGCTGAGAGCTAACCGATTCCGCTCCTGTGCCAATCAAAGAATATGCTCGACGCTGCCATTACTGGTCCACTAACTGGGAATTATCCGGAATTGCTAAAAGATAATTTATCGAAGTGCATACTTCGTGTAAACAAATTGACAAATCTTACCAGCATTGACGAGGCCACTAGAGTTGTATAATGTGCCAAGATGCGGTCCACTTAAAGAGAGAAACGTGTGAAGTTTTCCTAAATAAGGCTTCATTTGTGGCCTAGCTAGTGCAGATCTAATAATAATAGTGCCTAAGGAATGACCTACGAAGCTTATTCTAGCTGGTTCGCTTGAATTTTGAATGTGAGTTACAATTTCCTGGACAAGCCTGAAATGAAATAAAATATTAAGATTACGTTTTCTCAAGAGCATTATATTACAAGTTTTTAAATTTTTTGATATATTTGCCAACCTGTCAGTCATTGTATCAAAATCTGAGAAAGTGTCTCCTTGATTCCTTTCCGACATTAGAAAGTCAAGCCTGGCGCCTGGGAGACCAAGCTCTAAATATGTTTTTACTAAACGTAGATCCGCGGCGTTGCCGTCCAATCCATGCACACAAATTATAAGATGTAAGCCTAAAATTGGAACACCATTATAGCAGTTTCGTTACAAAAAATGTAAGTGTGAAAATCAAAATAAAAATAAACTTCCTTATCTTACCCTCAGGATTGAACATCCGATATTCATCGCTAATGTGAAAGTACGGTAGGGAGTTTTCCACTGGTGGGAAATCTGAATAAATTCCACCGGGATATTTAACGCTTTGTCTAAATTCTTCCCTACATTTGATGAATAAGCGTTCTGACTCCGCCAGTCCAAATATACTGACAAGGTTACTCTCACGTTGTTCTGAGAAAGAAAATTATTTGTTAAGAAATGATGTAAGCAAATAAAAAATTGTTAGAAATCATTTATAGAGGTGTAAAAGTTAATTGTGTATTTGGTGCTATAACTACTCGTAATTACCTTTGTTATTTCCATTCTCATTCCTAGAAGCTAGTTCTCCTGTGCTTTGACTTTTGTTAAGCGTGCTTGCTGACATTGGCGCTGTTGAATTAACTGATTGATGAGGCCTTAGTTTTCGCCTTTCAATAATTCCTGGTATATCAACAGCGTATTGGTTAGTAAACATTAAAAAGCAAAAGCGAAAAGCGATGATAAATATAAAATATTTGTTTACCTTCGCATACATGGTACAAGGGATTATCTAATTGCAGAGTAGATGGCTGAGTTGCTTTCCTGGGAACTTTTGAAGGAGTTGAGGATTTACTGCTCTGCCTACTCAAAATTGGCGACTTAGATGGCGGATCCTAAATAAATAATAATCGTTATTACAAGTTATTTATTTTACCTTAACTAGTTAATTTAAAATTATTCGTACCTTAAACGCGTCAGGGGGCGGTGGAGCATCTCTAAATTGCTGAGGTGGTGGTAAATGTTCATATTCATTTTCAGTTCCAAAATGACTTAAATCTACTTCAGATTTAGCTTTATTTTGATATTTTGTGCCAGCGACAGTAGATGTCGGGTCACTTTTCTTGTTGTGACTTTTACAAGAGCGGTCTACCGTTAAGCTACGTATTTCTGCCGCCAATAGTTTCTCTGTATATTCAATCCTATGTTTTAATTTTGATTTGTCCAAAGTATTTGACTTTGCAGGCACTTGTTGTACTTTAGGTGTAATTTCCTTTCGTATGTATGGATGAAGATCATCACTAATCGTTTTAGATTTCTTTACATTACTTTCAGTAGACGTAGGAGCCGTACTAAATGATTTATTTTGTATTCCACTAAAGGAGTTGTGTCTTTGGTTCAATTTTCTGCTGGGTTCAGGGTACTGTTGAAAACAGCTAGCTGTACAAGTGTCGGAATTACATCCCGTATCTATTCCGTTACTGTGCATTAATTTGTTGTATTCACACTGGCTGTCAGTGCAAATAGAATCGCTACAAATGGTGCATTCTTCACAAACATCTTTATCACAACATTCTATTTTCTCGTTTGAATTTTGCGCAGCTTTCACAGCGAGTTTCAGCAGTTTTTCGCGAAGTTGTTCACCGTTTAGAACTGTTCTTTTAAATTCAGTTACTTTTTCCCCTTCTTGATTTTGACATTCAGCAGTATCGTATATTTTGTTAGAAACTTTAGAAGCGGGCGATTTATTTGGAGGCGCATAATTTTGATTTAATTGACAACTGCCATTATCAGGTGTAGATGGACCTGAACTTCTGCCACTAGAAACCCAGCCACTTTGTTCGCTTAAGCTAGATGTAGAATTACTACTTCGCTTGTCTTCTTTGTTTAAAAAGTTTTCGGGAGGCAAAATTTTGAAGTCCTTGTCCGTTATATCTAACGGAGGAGATTCGAAAGCGGGCGGTGGAGCTAAGTTTGGCAAAGATTCTGAACCAAAAGTGTTGTTAAGATTTGGTTCATCTAACACAGAGGCAGCGCTCCTACAATGCCTCAACTCTGCTCCATGGTCAAGACTGTACGGAACACTGGCTGATGATTCCAATCGTCTTAGTTCAAATGGTATACTCTCATTACTGGAAGAAGAAGCGGCTTCCGACATTAACTGTGTCATTTTTTCTGAAGCCTTATGTTTTGTGCGTTTTTCGGGCTTGCCACTAGATCTGCCACTTTTTGGGGTAGTAGCACCAGATTTTGGTGTAATTCTTCCTGATTTTGGAGTTGCTAAACCCGATCTTGGTGTTAAACCACCAGTTTTAGGTGTCGCTCTTCCAGATCTAGGTGTTGCTCTATCAGATTTCGGAGTGCTGCGATCAGATTTAGACGTGTGTCGATCAGATTTGCTGTCTCTTGACCTAATAGAGTGGTGGCTGCTGAGAGAATCACGACTTGAATTTATTTTACCGGCTTCCTTGGCGCTGTGGTTTAATCTAGATTCTTTGGATCGACTCTTTTTATACCTAACCGACGGTATTGTGGAATGTGGAGTCGATGGTGGGGTTTTAGAATAAGTTGATTTAGAAGTTCCATCACTGCTTCTATCCAAAGTCATTACAAATCCACTATCATCGCTGCTCTTACTAGATTTCTTTTGGTAATTTTGAATAAGACTGCCTGTATTAAAGTCATAACTCCAATCTCCTTTTTGAAGGTAATAATTTAATTCATGCCTCAGTTGGTTGCGAGCTGCTTCAATATCAATTTGTTGTTGTTGTTGTTGCTGTTGACTATCTAAGTTTTGATGAAATACGTGAGTCGAGTTAGACCTATGAACGTGCTTGTTAGATACTAAATTAGTTTGATCAGTTGCTTGAGTTTTTCCACTGACCGGTGGATAAGAATTACGCGGAGGCAACATAGGACGGGGCAAATTAACTCTGTAACCTCTTTGGAACTCCAAAGGATTACGAATAACGTTATTCCCTTGCTGAGTACCCTGATTACCGAAAGCGTAACCATAAACTTGATTAGGGTTAGGCTTTACATTTCCATCGTATTTATAGCCCACATTATGGAATGCCTCGTTATTAGATCCGTGCATGTTAGCATTTAGATTACCAGGATTCTTATATTTCTCTCTAAATTCGTTAATATTGCGTCTATAATCGTCCCCTTTAGATCCACATCGAGTTGTTGTATTTGTCGGATAGGTTGTCGTTGTTACACTTCGTGGCAGCGTAGTCGGTTTCACTTGTTGAGGTGGCTGATATGGCTTTGGATAATTTACTGATGTGTTAGAACTATTTCTTACATTCTTAGACATTGTTTGCACACTGAGCGGCGCCATTTGTGACATTCTCAATTGATCTAATGATTTGCTGTGTCGAGCTGGTAATGTACTAACACCACTGGTGATCTCGTGCCTTTGATTGAACACTTCATTACTATCAGGTTTTTCTTTTCCTGATCGCGACGTGCTTACATTATTTTTTGCAGCGTTAATATCTAGCAATGTCGATGCGGAATACCGTGATAATTGTTGGCCTTGTTGAATAGTGCAAGAGGAAAAAGCATTATTTGGTGGAAGTTGGATTTCACTTATTTGATTATTTTGTACTATATATCTGTTCCGACAAGTTAATTCTAATTGTTTGTTATATGTTTTATTCATTTCAACAACATTTTGCTTAACGAGAGTTCTTTTAGGAGAGCCATGTGAGGGTTTTTGTGGTGCTAGAGTCAACGTAGCTTGCACAATATTTGGTGCACTAGTTTTTGATCCACTAAATTGTGGTTCCAGGACATCCATCATAGTTTTGGGTAAAGTTAACGTGACTCGTGAAGCTTCAGATGAAGGCCTTCTAGAGTCCATCATTGAGCTTACACTACAGGCACAGTCTTCGCTTACAGGCTCCGAACAGAGAAACGGATCTGTAAAGATATGAATGCAATGTTTTGTTACAATAATAAAAGTAGCACAAAATCATTGTTTTCCTAATAGACAAACTTACCGCTGCCCGATTTATTAGCACTTGAATTTAAGAAGGAGCGCCGTCTAGCAAATTCTGCTGTGTCCTGGTATCTGAAATAGTAAAAATGTAATTTTAAACAGCGTTGAGGATCTTAGTTACTGGAATGTAGCAAATGAGCGATCACTTGAAGTTACGAGTATTATTTCACCCACGTAAACATAAACTATCTATCCGGAAAGGGAAGCTAATACTGAAGAATCAAATACTAAGACAAAGTTTAAGTTCAAATCTAATAAAAATAGAAAAGTGGATTTATTTTGGTATCATGTGTAAATTAATTTATATTACCTGTCCTCGAATATAACAGGCATAATATGCGGATCTCCGTCCAGCGCGATGCAGTGTACGGGCAATGGGGGTAGCAGTGCGAGATACCGCGAGCGACGCGCCGCTTCGCCCACGCTCTGGTACGACTGATAGTTGCTGTCGTAGCAGCCGGCCAGCGAGTGCCGCGGGTTGTCCAGCACGAAGAAGCACTCCGAGAAGCGTTTAATGCTACAAGAATAATAAGTGTAATATTTTTTTTGTCCGTGAAATTAACATAGGGCTATGTTAAGTCATGAATCCTAAACATATTTTGGTCCAGGAACATACACTGTGGATTAACTTGTCACAAATTCTTTGATGTAATTGATAATTGCTTTACCGTAGTGCATGGTGTGCGGCGGCAAGCGCGTGGTGCACATGTGGCCGATCTGAGGTGTGGTGTAGGAAGGCGCGCCAGCGTAGCGTGACCTCCGCGCAAAGCCGCGCGATGTCGTGCGCTGCGCCCATCGCCCACTCCTCCTCAGAGCCCGCCTCCGGTTTCTGGATCAATACATTACAATCCAATTAGCCTTGTTGGGTGTAGTTTGTTTACTTTAATTCAAACGCTATTCAAAGGTATTAACTTATTATATATTTCTATGTCAGTAGCTTAATTTCAAACGATCAAAATACGAAAAATATTTTGAGTTTTGTTGATATCAATTTCTCAATCAAAACTTACTTTACTATTGTCGCTGAGATCTTTAATCCTTTGCGCTACTTCTCCTACAATGGAGTTGGAGGAGGCTTCCTCTGGGCTGAGTTGCACGCCGGTGGAGCCGCACACCGCTAGTGCCCCCTGCAGGCCCTCCAGCGAGCCCAGGAGTATGCCACATACTTCAGCATGGACTTGCCTACAAATACCATTTTGTTAAATTACAAAAAACAAACTTTATAAACATAAAATAACACAATAGTAGCTTATTCAACGCGGCTTCATCACCGCAAAATAATAAAAAAATCTAGTTACAAATATAGTCTATGTTACTCAGTGATAATGTAGCCTTCCAATGACAAAAATAAATTTAAATCCGTCCAGTAGTTTTGAGTTAATTTGTTACATACAAAAATACAAATATTTCCACTTTATAATATTAGTATAGATAAATTTAAAATAATAAGGTGGGTTACCTGGCGTGTGCGATCTTGCTAGAGTTACCACCAGCACATTTGCCGCTGGATCCGAACAGAATGTTCTCGAAGCTGCCTGACGCGTTGAAGTTGGAGCCTGCGCTTTTCATTAGTTTCCCCCACTGTTTGCTTGAGCGCGGGGTACTGAAAGTATCGCAAATGGAGTATCCTTATCTAAACTATGTAGCTAACTATTAATGTTATGATAATTTAAAATGTACGCTTTATTTGGAAAGATTCTTCATTTCTCTAGTCTTTTCTTTTAACATGCAAATACCCTCTATATATTTTTATTTTTGATTTTCTACGCATACACTACCAAATACGTAGACAATATTTAATGCTATAGGTCTACAAGACTGTCTATTTTTATGAATAATTATATTATAATACGGGAAACTACAAATAACAATGCTTAAGTAAATAAAAGTATAAGATATGTTTTCAGTCGAGATGAATTTGTCCTTAAAATTAAGTCTTCATGCGTTTGTATGTACGATTATCACAAAATAATTCTATTTGTCATGTTTTGGGTCAAATGAATTTTACCGAATTTTACTTACCAGCTTTGCACATAATGCATGATGCTCTTTCTTCGGAGCAGCATGCAAGAAATTTATGACTTTATAACCTCCATATAAGTAAAGATTTAAATAACTAAGCAATAAAAAGTTGCTCATAATTATTTACGGCCTAACCATAACAAGACGTAGGCAATGTTCCAATTAAATTTTAGCTTAAAACATGTCAAAACTTTTATAGCACGCTGATATTCGAAAAGCAAGTAGACACGGCCGCGCCACTGGAATCCGCAACATTGGAATAGGCGACTCCTCTAGCACATCCGTATAAAACAGCTGGCTGCCTTTAGTCGCTGAATTATAACAACTTTACTTATCTAAGAAAATGTATTATGGTGACGAATACAACTTACTTGATATAAGGCTGATGCAAAGCGACCAAGCTCGCATGTATGGTAATGGAGACAGCTGAGAGGTGGAAGTAGTCGAAGAGCACAGGCAGGTGGTAGTGGAGCCCCTGTGACGGCTGAAAGTGAAGCTTCAGCACGCGGCAGGAGACAGGAGCCAGGGTGCTGGACTGAGCGCCCTCGCTGCACCATAGTTCTACACCTAGACTCCATTCTGTTCGCTCCAGGGACTCTTTAAGATTGCGGCTATCGACTGGAAAAGACAATAAAACGTTTCAAAATAACGACATGCGCTGCCGCCGGTGAAATTATGTCCCGCTGTTCAAGCAAAAAGCTGTGCAAATTTCATGTTACAGTGCACACATTCGGAAGCTTCTTACCTAACAAATGAGCTCTAAACTGGATGATGTCTCTTAAGGTGATCTCTTCGTTCCTATACATGATCTGGAAGGCGCGGGACGCGGCGAGTCCGCCGAGGGCCGCGTTTGCGGAGGGGCGGCCAGCGCGCGCGGCTCCATTGCCGCTCGACACAGATGTCTCGATGTGAACCGGCACCTTTGGGGACACGCGGAGCCCCACTCGGATTTGGTAAAGCCTGCGAATAGAACTAAAAAGTTTATTCTACACTCTATGGAACTCTATTAAAAGCACCAAAAATCGATGTGCCGTGCCCATTGAAAGTCCGTGAAATCTTCCTACCTCTTTGGGTAAAGAGCGTAGTTGTGTTGTTTTCTATTGAATTTAAGGTAGTGAGTTAAGACGTAGTGACTTTCGAAGCATAACATTTAACGAGAGTCACAAAGGTTTTTTTTATACCAAATGTCACATGACATTTTTAATAGATCATTCTCCTCTTTGTGAACGACGAGGAGTTTTCAATGTATAACGTGTCATAGACTATTCTGTATTCCTAGTCAAAACAATTGAATCGTTAAAATAAGAATATAAAAAGTAGTTGTTTACTACTATAACAACATTTGAAATCGAATTTACCTCATAAAAAGCTCGTGCTCAAAGCTTGAGGTCACGAGTTGCCTATTTCAATATGTAATTGATATGCTAAAAATAGGTCAACATATTGTAGAACCGATACTTCTACGTAAAAGCTTTTACTCTATTTAATTAAACAGTAACCAATCTCATGAGACCATTAAAATAAGACCCTTCGCAAATCTTTGATCACTTAATTACCTTCGTCAAATATTCTTGACGTAAGTATCTTTATTTTGTTCAATATTCCGAGTAAGTATGGAAAATACCGAAGTAGCTTCTCAATTTCCTTTGAAATTCATCCACTTATTTATAAACAAGAAATTGTAATTACCTGTCTCTGGATACACGTGACTAGGGTCGTTGAACTTTGAGGCTGTCCAAAATACCATGTGCCAAATAAATGTCTTACAATTACGAACACATTCTTTTCATGTAAGTATAAAAACAGACGTAATTGAATTGTGTGTCATTTTTGAGTTCCGTCTCATTTATTGAAAAACAGATGATATTTTTACACAAATGTTTTCTTAGTAAAAAGCTAAATTAATGAACAAATGGCCATACAAAAAATGAGGTTAACATTAATAACACAGCCCTATATTGATCGTTTCTTTACAAAATGGCTTAATTCAATTGAGTGACAACCCTTAATTGGTACAAATTCAATTTGGCGACTTGATTAGATCCATCTGTTGATACCGACACTTGTTTTGTGTTGCTGAATCGAGCTCTAATGAAAATTTCCATTTTATTATTTGTTATATGTAACTATTCATGGGAATTGAGTTATTTATGACTTTATTGCTACAAAAAAGATTATATGCAACTCTCTATGTCATATTTCTTCTATATAAGAAGTTAATACACTACATAAAGTATTCTAGTACATAAGTTTGTATGTACATATAGATAAATGTGCGTGTATAAGTACACGCTAGTGACGAGAGGCACGCAGCGAGCTTGAGATAAATAACACTAAAGAGGTCGAGCGAGTACGAGCCTTAGGCTTCTAATGATCTTTTCAGTACTCCACTACGTTCAACTTTTCAAACTCAGCAGTATTTTTACCTGTACTTAGCGATGCTATAGTAAAATAAAGAGATATAAACAAACCTTATTTAATTCTCCTTTATTGATAGTATATTTCATTTTTTATATTAAAAAGCTTTAAAATGCATAGTCGTTATTGCACGAGAGCTCTATCTATAGTTCAAATCATTAAGAGCATCAGCTTATTAATTTTATTAATCAATGGAACAGCAATAAAATAATAACTAACTAGTCATTATTAAATACTGTGAGCTATTCAAAATTTAAAGTTCTAAATCATGCATGAATTAATGAATCATCCGAATTGCGCACAAAACGAACGTACCATTGCGCGCGTGAAGTTTTCACGCGAAGATAAAATCTTTTTACACCCCAATTCATTTGCACCTGCCCCTCGGTCCCGACCCAAATCAATTTATTACCGGCGAACGAAGGGTCACACCGCAGCTCGACAGCCGCCGGCTACCAAACATAGTAACATATTATATATAGCTATGTCACGTGTAAAAGATCGTTAGAAAATTGTACAGCGAATGACATTTCTAAAAAAAAAAATTCGGTACTTAAATGGCCACATAGGGTAGACTTCTATAATAAATCTACACTTATTATCCTTAGCAATCGCTGTAACGACTGACGACTGACTGAGTGATTCATAGGAAAGGTTTGGTATTACTTTAAAAACATGTAATTTTAGACAGTAACATAAGTCAGGCTGAAATTGCGTATTATTTGGACGGTGTTTTTACACTTTTATGGCTTCTTCAGTGTCTGTTCGTTATTTAGTAACAAATATTGTACGCTAATGTATCTTGAACGGATTACAATTTTAGTTTTGGGCTTGGTAAAGTATGGAAAGTTATTGTCATCGCATTAGTTTAGAAAGTCGTAACCGTAATGTAACAGGTGGCGCTAGTTGAGCATACGGGTCCGATACGAACATTTATCACATTCGGTCGTAACAGATTAAATGTGGCGTAGCGAATGAGTCCGGTGTGATTAATTTGTTGTTAAATATAGCTAAAAGCTTAGATTACGTTAGTTCTCTCTTAAAATTATATTTTTGTTTACATTTTTGACAATCATATATTAAGTAATTTGTTGACAACAATCCTATGAATATAAATTTCTACAGGATTGGGAAATATTTATACGTATTTTCCTGTAATACCTGCATACAACCGAAAACCGCAAAACTTCGTTTCACAAACTTTCTGAAACGGGCTTTATAACGAAATAGAATGTTGATCTAATTATAAGTCGGTCGAAGTTTAATAACATCGAAGGCTTGCAGTCATGTAAATTCCTTAACCAACATCCCTCAAAGTAGTTAAAATGTACATGAATATTACGGAATATTCGTTACATGTAATAGCATCGGATGCATATTGCATCGGAATTTATAATGAAATATCTGCGGAACTTTGGAGAGACACCACGTAAGCGGTAGTTTAATTTGGAACTGGGTCAGATAATGTCCACGACGTGTTGGAAACGTCACATGGAGAGGTACACTCGGACAGAAATATTATTCTATTTGTATAAATGACTGGCCAGATGTGCACAGATTATATTTACTGTCAACAGGTGAACGATTTTTTTATAATCTCGACTATGAATATGATAAATTCAATAGAACAGACATTAAAATATCGTTCGTCATACTTTTGTAAACAATATAATTGTTAGATTAGGTTACATTTTATAAAATTAACTTTTCTTAGAGAAGAGCTATTTTCTTAATTTAAAATTATTGTCTGATTAGAACATTAATGCACTTTTTTAATTCCTATTTTAAATTATGTTCCCAGTTAATCCGCGTAAATAGACGTAACAGCTGTTAATTACAGCTGAATGTTAACTGTGAGGTAGGTTTATCGTCGGCCGGTTATTTCGGAGCGCTATGCTGTTAGTGTGACCTTGTAGCGAAAACGCAATTATCAAGATCATGTTTATACGAACCACAACATGTGTTTGATACAGTTTTGCCTACAACATATATACACGTGTATTTAATTGGTAGGTATCTTTTTAATTTTCTTTATGCTTTGCTTATAGTGCTTATAACCTTTGCTTATAATTTACTAGAGTGTTGAAATAAAAGCTCATTATAAATGCTCATTGGAAATATACATACGACATCGTATTTTTCGTAATCGCTTTACGGTGAAAAAATTGTGTTTTCACATAAAATAGATATTTTTAGAACATTCAACATTCTTTTATTTTCTGACACTTGACCTTAAAGCAATTCCGTTTCCGTTGCAGCGGTATTTATTTTTATTTAACACGGAACAAACATTGTAGCTATGAAAACTTTTTTCTTAATGTTAGTATAGGTATTGTTCCAGTCTAAATTGTATATGAATTTACTATCCATTAATCAATTAAAGCCACAATCTATTTACGATAAGTACTGTACGAATTAAAGCGGTTTGCAATTCCCCAACGTCAGTGCGAGCTTTTGATTTGGCACGGCAAGGAAATGAAGTTTCGATAGACATTCACTGTTATTATTGGCTACATACGTCGAACAGCAACGTGCATGGAGTACACTATAGAAAACTTTTATTTTACTTGACGATGTATTTTAAACGAACGAAACGATATAAACATTACTGTTAAAATCAGTATAAATGGACAGGTGTAAATTAATTCATTTGTTTCGTAGTGGTTAGTTTTTTTGATACAATAATTAATTTATTATCATATCGTTAATCATCAATATTGTATATTGATTTATCATTAATTATTAGGAATGAGGAGACTTAATTTGGACAGGCTAAGAACTGAGGTATTTTGTGCCTATTTGCTTTTCGATTGAGGATTTAATAGAGATAGAATTACCTGTCAGGAACAATAAAAGGCGCATTAAAGCCGTCATTTCCAAGCACTGGACTATCTATTTATATCAGTGACCGATACTGAATTAATCAATATCTGTATCATAAAAATAGCAATAGTTATTTTGTCTTAACATTTTCTTGTCCTTATTCCGCTCTATCTGGGGTACGCGCACTAGGTTTTGGTCTTTCGGATTGATTTATTAATAGCCATTTCCCTACCCATTTCTTCACAATCTTTTAAAATACTATAGTTATTTCTCAATAGATAATCTCGATTTGTAATTAATGAACCAAAGTGAATTTAATGTAAATACTGTAAGATATAGAAATAACAATAAACCAGCCATTTAGTTACGCCATTAAATTCTCAAGTTCCTACTTATCAGTTTATTGATATAGCATTTTATGGTTTAGTCTACTTACGAGTATACAGATGACATTATTGAAAGGAAACCATTCAAAAACCGTAAAACGGACACATTAATAGTACTATAAACGCTTTTGGGATAAAAAAAGAGTAAAATTGGATAAATTACTTATCCATTTAGTAATCAAATAAAGTTTATAATTATTTTATTGCATATTGGACGGCTCTGTCTTTTCCGCGCTCTAGTAAGCTGCTTTCTTGCAAACTGTATACTAAATACTATTAAATTATGTTATTAAAGGCATCCCTAATAGGAGCAGAATAGATCCTTCTTTCAAATAACCTAGTTGCACGCTTCTCTAACAACCAAAACATTGTATTTTGAGTAATAAAAGTCAACGAAATTGCATTGATGATTTATTTTTGTAATAAAAGTCGAGCTGAATTTATTGTAGAGTAGAGAAGACTATGTTACTCAAATTGGGTTTCGAAAGGCTTGTAAAAATATATTTGCTATCTCTGTATTTTACAAAGAGAATAAGAGAGACGGGTATACTATATTTACAGAGTTTACGGCAGTGGGAATTCGCAATGAGAATTAATTTTTGTTAAAGTATTTAGGCATAGATGATGTTGTGCATACCAATTGCTATTCTTTAGTATGTAACCAAAACTACATTACAGTTTATGTTTTGTAATTTTTTACACAATTTACAACAAAAAAGAACTAATAGATGTTTTCTCTTGATTGCAGAATGCACCTGATTCTGAATTAAGGTAAGTACTTTTCAATTTTAACTTTTTCTATATGTAGAGACACACAACCTTAAAGTCTTCGGTTCTTATATATTAATATAGATTATAATAATAAGCTTATATACAAAGCCCACTACTTGGTAATACACGGGTTTTATGTACTTGGGTCTCTTTAAAGAGGGCATTAGGGCATCGTTCGCCGCGCCCCTGCCGCGTTTTGGTGGGCTTCACGTCTTAAAACCAATCAGACGAATCAGGTTACTTCAAAATACAAAAATCTATAGCTTGATGAAGTAAGTACGGAAGTATTGGAAAGATACTGTTTTATCAACGATAAAGTTAGGAGGTCTAAAGTGCCCAAAAAATAGAAAAGGTCGAGCTTAATCGGCGGGGGTGCTAAATCAGGTTACTTCAAAATACGCATATATATGCCATGATATACGTACCTAGTAAATATAGTTATTGGAAAACACATAGCTTTATCCACAACAAAATTATGAGGTCTAAAATGCCTTAAAAAAAGATAAAGCTAAGCTTACATGGCGTTGACTCTGAGGGGCAATGGAATAATAATAATGATATTAGGAGTTTAATCTGACACTGTGCATGGTAAATCAACATACGGTCGCTTGGAATCAAATAATGTTTGATCGATATAAGAAATTTCCATGCAGAATGTACTCGTACGTTAGAACTAGTCAACTATTCATGATCATGTTACTGCGTTTGACAACCCTAGTTGCTGCATGAATGCCTTGAATAAAAAATTCTAGCTAGAAGGGTGGATAAGCTGGAAATAATTAATGCAAGGGCTGTGCATTGTGAACTGTTGTATAAAAAAACGATGGTATACAAGGATGGTGTTCAGTTGAAACAAGATCATAGTATACTTTACTTTTTTTTTTTAAATGGATGGAAGATGTAAAATATAAAAACGTATTAATTAAAAAAATCGAATGGCTTCATAATTAGAATGGAAATTGTAATTGTAAAAAAAATGTTACAATATTTCGTCATTACAAAAACCTATGCACGAAGTAATACAGCTATATTAAAAAAAAACAAAACTGGAAAAATACCAACCGCCGTACCTTGCAGAACAATGAGTCTGCTGATTTTTGGACTTAAACTATTGTTGTTTTAAAAACAAAGAATTCCAAGAGAAACAAAAGATTAAAAAGCAAACGAAAATTTTAAATTGGAACGATTTACTGATGACGCCGAGGCCGATAGCGCTGTAGTGTTTACAGTTGATATGAATTGCTTTATTGATTTTTAAACTACATACGAAAGACTTGCATGAAATAGTACATAAGAAGTATTTATTCTTAAAGTCTTATGGCTATAAAGAGTTTAAATGTAAAGTTAACATTCTAGTTTTAAAATACAGTCTTGATAAAGAAATTTTACGAGGGCTCTGTTGATCAAATTGACTTTCTTTACATCTTAAAAAACATTTGTAGTAATTTGTTATACATTCTAGTCACCATAAAGCTTTTTTTTCCACGGATCACTAGAATGTTGGTTCTTTATTGATCTTGTTTATCGATTGTATTGCTCTAGTACTTTAAAACTTAATATTATTTCTTTCTGGAATGAAGACACAATACCTTGATTTGCTCATCGTATTGTCAGTATTGGTTTCATCGTCGAAACACATTGTTACTCGTCGACCCAAATAGCTTTAAAAGCATTCGAAGAGTGCCATCCAGTTCTATTAGTTTCCTATATTGAAACAAGAACTCTATGCTAATAAATTTTGATTTCTATAATTAAATAATATAGGCAAGTTATTTAATTATTAGTTTTAACGTCGTTTTTTAATTTATCCGGGATCCTATATAGATGTTAGATGTTATATGTGTTAGCAATAAAATGTGTATCGAAATATTTTTAACTTTCGGTTTGAGTAGATAGTTTCCTCAGACGTCATTTAAATGCGAATTCTAAAAATTGATATCGATTTGTAAAATAATGCCATGTACAAGAGGTAAAAATTGAACATCGGTGATAGTTCTATCTTTGCCTGTTTGAATTCTTTAGCAATTTTGTTAACATCTGTTTTTTAAATGATACGTTAAGTTTTTACTCTAATCACTAACATTCATATTAATTCGGTTGTCGTGTTAAATCAATATGAAGTTGTTTAGACATTTATTTGTATTGGCTGGATTTATTACTTAGATTTATTTGAATTTAAAAATAATAATTTGATTTCTTGTTTAAAAACTATTTTTGATGTAGAAGATGTGTTAATCTTTATCTTTTTCATCACAGTCATAAATGTATAAAAAAAATGGCAAACATGTGCTTCTTATGAGTTAATCGAATGCTGAATTTTATTGATTTCACATAAATTGAAAGATATCTTATAAATGTTTAAATTTAAAATATCATTATATTTTTTTATTTTTAATTTCGAGTAAATACTCATTTTAGAATGTAACTTTTTTTTGCCAAAGGCATTTTAATGCAAAACCTTTTTTGACTGCGGCAAAATTCATAAATATGTAATATACATTTTTACGCAGAATTTGTGTGTTAGTCAACTACATGTTCGTTACTTTCTGTAGCATTGATATTAGGTTGAAATTTAATTTGGATATTACTCGATTTGAATTACAAGTTCTTTTGGCTTATTTAGATGTTTCTAAGCACTTTTTGGGAATAACTTTATATACAGTTAAGTTATATAACTGACGTAGAGCTCGGTGATTGAATAGATACGCGATTCGCCCGGTCATACTCTACACTGATTTTTAATTCACGCACTGGTACTGCTAGGGACTACTGATTTTATCAACGGTCATCGCATTTTATGATATACTTTCGATTAAATGTGACTTCGTTATTGATCGTGGTGTTGAAATAACTATAGGCTTCTCATTAATATTTATACCAGTTGGTTTCTGATTAACGTATAGTATAAAATTGAAGCTATAAGTGTAAGGGAAGTCTTCGTAATATAAAGCACGGAACATGTTTTGACCCTGTATCACTATCAGGCACGTTCAGTCATAGCTCACCCTCTCTGGAAGAGATCAACATTGTAGAACTTGTAGAGTTCAACGCTGAACTCGAAGGTGGCCTGCAGGTCGCTCATGGTGCCGGGGTGGCGGGGCCGCGGGCGCGGGGGGCGGGGGGCGCCATCGCACTGCCGCTAGGGGCGCACTCGCATCTCGCACCGCGCGACCACGCCGGACCACACCCGGGCCGCGAGCGCGAGCACTAGCGCGCCGGGACGACACACTCGGCGGCCGCGGCGAGCGTGCGGCACAATCTGCGCCGTGCCCCCAGCCCCCGGTCCCCCGCTCCTAAACCGTACACTTTTTAATAGCGCAAGTGCGCATGCGTTTGGTCTGCCGCCGCCGCCCGCCCGTGACGCCGCACCGCCCGCCCTGCAGTGCGCCCGGCTCACACACCCGGGCAGGTTCTCTCGATAATTCCATTCGCTTCATTCCGCTTCACCGAGTCTTCGACTCGCGTAATGCAGAGAGATTAGGGGAGCTCTAAAGGTCAGGGGGTGCACGGTGCCCCCGGCGGCGTTAACCTTTCTCGTCGTACCCTCGTACCTTTGTACCCGTAGCTCTGTATCTGTACCCGCTTCTGTATCGATGACAACATTTAATGAATCCCTCGTTGCTTCGTCTCGTTTTCAAAAGCTATTAACTAGCTATGATTAGTGCCACAAAAGGTTGGCGCGTAAGACAAAAACAGAATTTAATGGACTATAAAAATGTTCTAAAATAAAATATAATATTATGAATGAAATCTAAAAATGTAGCTATTTATATTTTGTACGCTTTTGATTGTTCAATCAATGTCTTTATAATACACGATCCATTCTCTTCCTAAGGATACTCTACTTTGTTTCTCCTCTTTTCTTATCTATTTCGCCATTATTAACTTCTGATTGGCGCTTGGGTTGGCGTTGGTACGGTTGCGTTTGAGACAAGCCAAAACAATTTGCCGTTTCTAAGCACGTCACATTTATTTAATCAATAACAACAATAAACCTCAGAAATCGAAGTGAAGCTTCTAGCATCTTATACAGGTAATAACAGTGGGTTTCTGAGTCAAACATTATCACTTAGCAGGATAGGTTTTGTATAGAGAATTTTATCTCATATACATCATCTGTTTTAAGTACCGTATTAAAATTTAAAAAAAAAATTGTTTAAAACAAAATAAATTAGGATGAGGATGATTAGGAATATTTAACATTTATCAAAATTTGAAAGATAGATAAGCCGAACGTCACCTGCAGACAGAATACGTTTGATCGTGGCTACTTTATTTGGTAAAGGTCGTAGGTTAAACGCTGGTTGGTCGATCGCGGGTTCAAGGAACGGTTTTGCGAAATGCTTTTGAATTCGCCAACCTCAATTCACGTACACCTGGATCGTATTTGTTTAGTAACTCCAATATTTATTGAAGGAATTCGTGTTTTTGAACACCCTGTATACTTTCGATATGCCGCCCTTATAAAAAGGGTTATGATAAAAAATTTATATTATAATTTCTTACAGTCCATGGCGCGGGTAATAAATCATGTATGTATTACTATTTCATCGTAATACATCATGTATGATCAATGTATTACTATTTCGATAAAAATCGACGATATTTACAGGTCAAATATTTACATCTTAATTCTTCCTAATATCTTACAATTATTGTAAATCCAAATGTTTAGATGGATGGATGTTTATTAGAAGATATCTCCAGAACGGCTACATGTATCTCGCTGAAATCAAGCATAGATGTGGAACATAGCCTGCAAGGATGACTTCACTTTCACAAGTTTCTCACTTGTAATAAATTTATTAAAATCCGTACCCTAGGCGAACAAAGTATTGCGTTGTGCTCGTTCTTTTACAAGAGAGGTAGCAATATGCTGAGTGGTAGGTATGTTCGTCATTGTAATTCTGAGAACAGGCCCCGTGGCCATTGTCGTCTCGCTTTGCTTTCTTGCTTTGAGCACTAGAGCATACGAACTTTTATTGTATTTTTATTTTATCGGACAAGTGTTTTTTTTTCTATACTATCTTAACAAAAGGTCAATATGTCTATTTTTATGGGCATTGTTCGTTTGAATTGAGAGGCTATTGTTTTATTATGATACAACATTTTAAGAGTTGAGTTAGATTTTTTTAGAAAATAATAGAATACCGTTTTATCACCTTTTAGCATTGGTTTTCGTCAGATATTGCTAGTCTAACAACCAAATAATAAAGTAAAGTTATTATACGCCAAACATCTCTCCTTGGTATTGTCATCTGTTAAAGAACTTTTTAGAGTTAAACTCAATATTGCATTGTCTATAAAGTTTAAATAAATAAAAATAAAATTATGTTATATTCACAATAAAAAGTTTCACTGAATTCATTAGTTTCTAACTGAATGTGAAAAAAAAAGTTTGCGTTTTTTTTCTTCTGTTATACTATCTTATATGTAAAATTCTCGTGTCAAAATTTTCGTTCCCATACTCCTCCGAAACGGCTTGACATGAAATTTTGTGAGCATATTCTGTATGTCTGAGAATCGACAGACATCTATTTTATAATCCCGCACAGACGGAGTCGCGGGCAACAGTTAGTAATAATATATAATAACGCCCCAAAAGTTGGTCAATGTGGTTTGAAACTATGTAAGTTACATTTTACATTGTAAAGATAAAGATAACACCAATAAAATAAATCATGTTGTCATTTCGAAAACTCATCAGATGGATTCAAACAGTTTGTGATAACAGGATATGCGTCCATTGTGTTCAGTTAAATTTAACTGTCGAGAACAATAGCCGTTTACAGCAATTGCTAACTTTATCGAACATCAATTTAAATATATATATATATTTACACTGTTCGATATATTTGTGTATTAGGCGCAGTAAAAAGAATAGTAGAGTGAAATATCTATATTGCATTATATTTAAAAATGTTTTTCCAAATTCTGGGGCAAAGGTATTGATGTCCCGTGAAGTAGGAAAAAGGTTATAAGAGTTCTTTGAAACGCGGGTGCTATTCACAAAGTATTACGATATTCAAAGTTTAAGAACGGCTCGTGATAGCCGTTGAGCACATGCCTACGCAGGTGAGTGGCACGTTGGTACGAAAACGCGCTCACGGGTTTGCCTCACTCCCGCATACAGTCCTGCTGTTACCTAAAAATTGTTTTCCTAACAATATTGCGAGCTGCCATAAAGTTTGGATGGCATTGTTGGTGTGACGAAACTATTACTCAGATATTTTAACTAAAAGATTATCTTTTTCTAGTTTAATAAATTGTTTGCTAAAGTAAATATTGCTTGAAATTAATTTGGTTATTTAGGCCATATCACTTACTGTAAAATAAGACTCTTCTCTGTCATATTAATGGACAGAGTTTTTAAGTAGAGATATTTTAAAATAATTTTCTAGCAACGTAGAATTGCAATTAAACTATACTATAGCAGCGCATTTCCAATTTAATTGAAGCTTTTAAATTCCACTAGCGATAGCGAGATGGTTTTAAAAGCTGAAATATTCCTGTCTCTTATTTTTATAAAAATTAGGTCAATTTGTGAACCACTTATTTCCATATTGCTTATTGAAATCTTTTTTTTTTACATAAACACTATTATTTTTAATAATATTATATTAAATTTTGAAAAGTAATTCAACCTAAAAAGTTCATAAATAAGTGCTTTGTTTTACAGTTTATATCTATAATAATATTATAATGCGGAAGAGTTTGTTTGTTTAAATGCGCTAATCTCACAAACTACTGGTCCGATTTGAAAAAAACTTTTTTTGTTGGATAGTCGATTTATAGAGGAAGGCTTTACGCTATATAACAATACGCTGCGACCAATAGTTTTTTTTAATTCCGCGCGGACGGAGTCGCGGGCGACAACTAGTTATTTTATAATTAATCACAATAAATATATTTTCTTAAATTTTATATTCCAAAGTTCTTCCTAATGACTACTCTAAAACTTTTAACATTAGCTTGCACCAGTATTCGCGTATTTGGTAGCATTTAGCATTTCAAATGCACCGCATTATCTTGAAAACAAAGGAAGACTGCAAACTTCAACTGTTAGGTAACATTACAAAATGGCGATGAATTTTCACTGCAGCTGAAATTGAATTTAACATATTCCAGACGAAAGAGGTTGCCATAAAATAGACAGAACTTTGTTTCTCATTTATTTTGTCATTGTATTAATTTGTAATATTTAATTTAATACTAAAATGCGTGAAAAAGTTTTTCCACTTTAAACTTAAATTGAGATCTGATTGCGCGGTTCACTGCATTCTCTAGAGACACATCGTAATGATGGATGTGCCCGCGGGAACTGTCGATAGCCATCGTAAAATAATAGTGTAATATTATGACCAAATATAAAAAGTTTTGGTTTACTTTATTTTATGTTTTTATCATTTAAACATACTTTTAAAACTACTAGAAATTATTGGTGCAATTTTAACGAAACTTATATACCATAGCATCTTTTCTTGTAAGCAAGGAACTCGAAATGTGATATATCATCATCAGCTCACTATGGTGATCCCCGCTAATAGGCTTGGAGCCTACCCTAAGTTAGGAGTGATATACGAGTACATACAATTATTAATAAAAAACATGGCTTCTAAGGATATAATTCCTTTATTTCGGTGGTTAATATTAAGTAATGCTTTATGCCGCCTGCATTTATTTGACTATTTAAATCTTTTATCTGCATGGATAGATAATTACAGAACCGCTGAATGGGACTAAATATGGATAGAGATAGATTATACTGCGGAAGAGGGCATAGGCAAGTTTTTTTTAATTCCACCCACACGAAGTCGCAGGCCTAAGTTAGTGTCAAGATAAATCCCAAAAAGCAACAACGACAGAAGTCATATTGTTAAATGAATTTGCAAGGGAATGAGAAAGCGCTGGCGACTCGTTTACTGGTTGATGAGATTTTTAACGAGCGGAAAGGGCACGACGGTCGGATGCGAAATTTACATTTAAATTTTCACGACTACCGATTGCATCAATTGCCCTTATAATTACTTTATTACGATCTGAAATTTTAAGGGTTCTTGCTTGTAATAATTTGTTTGTGTGAATTTGATGACCTTCAAAATTGGACATCATCTTTTTATCACATTTTTAACAAGCCTTGTCGAAAGTGTCTTAATGTGCGGTTTATAAAAGACACGTGAATCAGTTACAGGGTGTCCGGAAAAGGATTAAAAGATGAAACCACAGTTTCTAGCCCGAAAATATTACGATTTAACAATTTAACGATTTTACTTCTTTCCAAAGTTGATTAGTTTGTGCGTTAAAGGGCTTCAAAGTTAAAATTACAATTCTTCTTAATCTTTATACGAATGTATAACTATGGATAAATGAAATGATTTGTATAACTTTAAACCTTTATTGATTCTTAAAACTATTTTTACATTTATTACTAAGGTAACTATTGTTTATTTATCTACCAACTACGTTGACTATGGACGACATTGTCCGTTGAACCAAATGGCTCAGAGGTTTACAACAAGGAGTAGATCATTGGGCAGTGATCGTTCAAACTTATTCTATATCTTTATTGTTACTATGTTACTATGTTTTATATAAATTGTATAAAAAGAGTTGTGTCTTTTAATATACAGAAAATTTGATATAAATTATATTCAAGACAGAAAGAACGTATAGATTTACATTTTTTAATCTGTAATTGACTTTATATATTTATTTGTACATACAATTTGTATATATACAAAGTATATTTCTTCCTACATATATTTTGTTGGTGGCATAATATCACTTTGCAAAAATCATAAATAATTTTGATTAAAATACTTAAAATATTATGTCATGTACATAAATAAAACAGGCAAGTTTAATTACAGTTTTAAAATATGCAAAATAGCATTTCATTTTTAAGATTTATTTCGAAAAAACTACCTAAAAAAGTTTAAATTATATTTGTAACAACAAAAAATAACTGTAATGTAAATAAAAGTTGGTTTCTAGCACACTAATCTGCTATCACATTCAATCCTAAATTAACAATCATCAATCTGTTCTTACTTCGCATATGAAGAAAGTTTCAAAAGAACAAGGTGAGTCGTTCCATTTAAGACCTTTGTCATCTCGATTCCAAAGTTCCAAGCAGTTCTCTTCTTCGCCGTTCTCATATCTGAAGTTGTTGGGCTCTCCAGCATTCCAGTTGACGAAGGTAAGTGGTCTTCCATTAGCCATCCAAAAGAAGTTACCCTCTTCGGCCAAGTCAGTGCCCGATGTCCAGAAGTGCTCACGTCCGTAGCCTGGAAGTATAGATAATTTCTTTCTTAGAAAACAAAATACAACACCGACTATTTTTTATTCGAAAACAGAAACCTCGCCTGTTTAGTTGCTAAACAAAATTACTAGTTTCATAAAATCATTTTTTCAAATGTGCCTAATTTATTAATTAAAATCATATTCAATATATTTTATTAAATGATTACTTTTTGAGAATCTTTCGTTATCTTTTTTTTATCAAGCTGTAAACTTACCCGAATCCTTCACATATTTCTCAAGCCTGTCGTTTTCTTCTTGCGATGAGATGGACGCGAGGTGCATGCCATGGAAGCGGCAGTACTGCTGCGCTTTGAACCAGTTCGCCTGTAATGTTACAATATTTAGTGAGTACGGTTGCAGTGTTACAATATTAAATGAGAACAGTGGAAATGTTACAATATTAAATGAGTACAGTACATGTTACAACATGAAATAAGTTCAGATACAGTGTTACAAAATTAAATTACTGGTAATATTGGTTGCTTTGGAAGATCAAAGTTAGTATGAAAATTTTTCACAATATTAAATTAAATGTTGCAATTTTTTTAACATACTTTTATAACTTTGTATTTAATGTGTAATCTCAATTTATAAAATTAGAATTTCTTAATCTTAGAGGTCGGCGAATGAAAATCTAATTCCAGTTTCCGCAATTAAACTTTGACATTTGTCAACGATTTCTCGTTATTTTAACGCTAAATTAAAGCAGGAATAACAGAAAGGAGAATTATATTGAAATGATCACTAATTTTCTTAAAAAAAAAGATTTATTTTCAGATCCTTTTGCCTCCTTTTTAATAAAGTATATTATGAATCTGTCAGATCTTATTTTTCTGTAATAGAATGGAAATCAATGTTAAACATTTATTTATCTAATTCGAGTAATTTCTCTTTTTGTGATATTAATATATTTTGTCTTACACATAATATATGGAAATTACTAGCCGGTTGTTATGCAACAAATACGCCTTTGCTTGTTCCAAGTTGCGTAGATTTACCTAAGACGTTAGAGTGTTAGTACTTAGAACTCAATCTGCTGTAAGACGGTTGCATCAATTACTACAGGATTCGTACACACTTGCTTTTTCCGCTGGTTCTATCCCAGAAATATCTCAAAACTAGCTGACGCCCGTGACTCCGTCCGCACGTAGTTAAAAAAACTCTTTAGTAGCCTATGTCTTCTTCCAGACTGTTGTACATTCATGCCAAATTTCATCGAGATCAGTTCAGCCTTTCTTGACATACCATTTAAACAAACATCCATCCATCCGTCTAAACAATCACATTAATAATCTCAGTAAGTTTATATTATTATATATTTGAATATCTTTTTAATCTTTTGATTTTAGCATTACACCGCATTCGACGTTTCCTACTAATATAATATATAAATGTAACGTCTATCAAAGGTTCTACACTCCTTTACCAGTTGGACATGTGACCTTTATGCTATAGTGCCGGTGTTGTAACCTTTCGTCGCGGGTCACTGTGTTAATAAGCTAAGCAAAGGCAATGCCGATGATGACGGTTGGTTTCTTATATTTGTATACATGGATTGTATTCTTCTAATACTAGTTATAAACACAGAGATTGAACTGTCTTTTGATAGTGTTTAAGTGTGCATTTAAACTATAGCAGTACTTCAATATCTTACTGGTCTGCATCGATGTTCTGCCCACGTGTGAAATTAACATGAACGAGTGTAAATAGTGATTAACGCATCTTCACCATTTTCCAACAATATCGCTGGGAATGCTGAAAGCAAACATTTAGTACAATTTCTAATCAACCTTTCACATCGTAATTTAAATAAAAAGTTCCATTTTTCGTCCTAATGTTTCGTTATGTCTTCGTTCGTATGTCTGATCGTACAAATCATGTATTTATCGACTGCTTTATAGCGGTAACTAGGCGATACCAAAGTAGCGGCGCTACAAAATCAATTAACTACGACTCTTTACATAGGCCCATTGCCACACGTATTACTTCATTTCTCGGCAAAAACATCACGGCATACCAACTAGGAATATAAAATGAAACTTAAGATTTGTTAATATCAATATTTACTATTTAAGATTTTATTATAAGCTGAAGAAATAAAGCATAGTCAAAAATAAAGACTATTTTCCTTGCTAAACCTTAAATGACCTAAGTACTTAACAACATTTGACAAGAAATTGAACATAGAATGAACCATGTGACACTGTCCATAAAGATTTAGGGTTCCTTTTATGAAGATTTACGAGTAAAAATATACTTAAAACATTTTTCATTCATAACGCACATAATCCGCGTAGGTATAGCAAAAGCTGCGCCTGCTTGCAAACAGGAAATCACGTCGGAGTATAGTTGAATGGAAGTTTATTTCATTTATAAATTGTGACGACCTGGATTCCTATTAAGTAATTTGATGAGTTTTATTTTTGAAATCACAAATCACCCTTTAACCTTTATCAATTTTCTAGACAAAGATGAATTAATATTCAAACATTTTCGTGACTAAGCTAAAGTAAAATTCCAAAAAATATTATAAAATATTTTGCATTGTTGATAAAATAATATCAGTTTAAAGTGAGCTTAAAATCTTTACAAATTATATTAGAGCACGACATTTCCTATTCAAAACAGTTGCGAAATGTAACCAAATTATAATAAGATCGTCATTTGTCACTGACAAGGCCGCATTACAATGGCGTCCGACAGACACGACATACTATTTGAATTAACTCCAATTATTTAAAACTGTGAACTATCAGACATAAAAGTAAATGGTTTAGGAGAAAAAAAAATTAAAGAAATAAGACAGCCTAAAGAGATATTTTGAGAGCTTAGAAATAAATTAGAAAAAAAAGTATTGTTTTTTACTAGAAATTTAAATTGACACAATCTGTTTGGAACTCAGTGAAAGATGCGTGGAAATAGTGCACCTAATAATAACGGTTACCTTTTGACTTTATCGTATTTGTAACGTAAAATAGGTGTTGATTTTGTCTTAAGATAGCACAAGTAAAAGATCGATTTTTAAATATCATAATACAGTGCCGTTAGTTTAAACGTTTCTATTAATTATATCATAGTTTTTACCGTTGTTTTTAGTGATGCATTGACTCGAGTTAAGAAACGTACGCTCTGTAGATTTAAAAGAACCGGTCTCTTTGTGTTATTACGTCGGAATAGAATGAAAGGCGTGGGAATGACGCCCACTGCGGATTCTGCATTGTGCACTGCGGAGGTTAACTTCCGGAACTCTTAAAAGTAAGTGCAAAGAAAAATATTTTAAAAGGTAAATACGTCACATTCAACTGTCGCATGTCGACGTATATTTTTAAATGTAAATGTAAAGAAATCTTCATATATGATTTTACATTGCATTGTAAGTTTAACTTTCTATGTATGGGACAATGTTCCTAACCAATATTTTACATTCAAGATTAAATTTCGTACAGCAAAGACTTTGTGGTCAACTAACTTGTTATTAGTAGTCTTTTGTTTCTTTAATTTCTAAAATGCACTCTTATATAGCTTTAAAACTTTATCTGATAAGTAAAACGATTGGGTATTTAATAAAAAGTTATGCCCTAAAACCTGCCATATGAAAATTAAAAGAAAAAAATATTTAAAATGATAAAAGAGCCAACATATGTACGCTCGACGGTCGTACGGTCGTAAACACTTAGGATGAAAGAGAAAGCTCTATACAATCAATCAACCACACGCCACACGCCGCGGCAACACTAGTAACTAGTGATGGGATATTATTAACGAAATTTTAAACATGTTCTTTATATCTGTTAACGAAACTTAATATGCAATTTCGCTTATTATTTATATACTCTTGAAACAATTGGATATTAATCCAAGTTAACGTTTGTTTTGTTTATATAGATATTGAAAATAGCTTAAAAATCTGAATGAAGCATGTTATCACTGTCACAAAGATACGGATAAGATTGACAACATACATTAGTGTAAGTTTTGCGGCAATGAAAACTCACTGCTAATAAGAAAACACACTTGAAATAGACAATAATACCCTCGAGGCTTAAATTAAACAAAAGTTGTTGACTATTTCTAACATGCTATTAAATAACGCTTAAAGTGCTATTTGTCGATTCACAACACTAGTTATCAAGACATAGTGATGTAACTGTTTCGACGTCTTTTGATGACCAATTGTTACTCTCAAACTTGGTTATTATTGTTGAATGAATATACGTACTCAGTAAATGTATATATTTTGAAACTTATTCATGAATAAGAAATAAAAATGGTGATAAAATTGTGTTAGTTTTGGGTCTTTCCATTTAATTATATGTATTGTCCCATTATACCGCTATCTTATATCGTGGAAGAATAACACGTGAAAGAGTACCACTTTAACCAACCACTCAGGAGAAGAAACTTATTCAAAATGACACCTCACTCGTTAGAATCAGTTCACTCGTTTAAATTATAAAGTCACAACGGCCATTACCATACAATCCACATCCATAAAAATCTTACATATTAATATAAATGCGAATGTTTGGATAGATGGATGGATGAATGAATTGAAGTTTGTTAGAAGGTGTCTTCAAAACGACACAACAGATCTCGATGAAATGTTGCATAGATGTAGAACATAGTCTGGAAGAACACATAGTCTTAAGATTTTAGGGACCCGTATCTCAAAAGGAAAAAAAACCGAATGAAACCCTTATAGAATCTCTTTGTTGTCCGTCTGTCTGTCTGTTAAGGCTTTTTTTTTTAATTCCGCGCGCACATAATCACGGGATACAGCTAGTATTAGATAAAATTATAGTCACTGTTACTTACATTCTTTGCCATATTTGAAAATTCCATGTACACAATGCAATGTGTATGTTTGGATGTAACCATTTATTACAGTTACAAAATAATAAAATTATAACGCAACAAGACGCGGCCTTTTACGTTAGTATTGCGATATAAGACAATCATCGTTTAAAATAGGATGTAATAAACTCCGAGGTCAGAACGTATCTCCTTGTGTTTGTTAAACTTTGAATTGAGTCCATTTTCAATGAGTTAAAAATCTCAGGGAAATTACAAACAGACGGAATAACGCGATTGTTATATAAAATTATTCTTATCTTCCTATGTTTGAGAAAGAAACGATGAATGTAACATTTATATCCGAAAGTACTTATAAATTACAATTGTGGAAGAATTTTATTATTCGATCAGATTGAGTATATTACCGAATTGGTACTATGGTACTAATTGGAAGTATTAAGTACTAAGATGGGGTACAGTGGGGATAAATAGTTGCGACTTAGGTTCCTTTAATAAAACTAATGGCAAGAAAAACAAAAGAAGGCAAAAGAAACAAGGTTCGGCAACGCATCTGAAGATCTCAGATGTCTTCCTATAGACGTCCAATCAACCAACATTAAGGGATTCGCTACTCGTTTTTTCCTTTCTCATCTAAAAATTATTGTTGTGTTACCTTAAAGAATATTCCCAGATAGTACCGCTTTTCGCCGCTCTTCAGCAGTGGCATGGTCCATCTCGTAACGCCAAGCTCGTCGTCGTTGCAACTCGAGCATTCTGAAATTTGATACATAAACAATGAGATAATAGTTCTATTTATATGATAAGATACACTATTTTGGTTATTCCATTTAATTTATGTTGTATTGATCATCATCAGCTCCCCACCGAGAGGCACGGAGCCTACCCAAAGTTATGGTTGACTAGGCCATAGTCAACCATACTGGCCTAGTGCAGGTTGGTTGACTTCACACATCTCTTTGAATTTCTTCGCAGATATGTACAGGCTGCATCACGATGTTTTCCTTCACCGTAATAACGTCGGATAAATGTACATATGTAAATCGAAAAACATATTGGTAAATGGCGAGATTTGAGCCCAGGACCTGCAGATTAAAAGACAAGAGCTTAACCACTGAGCCACCGGCGCTCTCGATGTTGTTTATCTTTGATATTTTTTAAACAATGGTAGTGAAATACACATGAACTAGGCCCTAAAAGTGATGACAAATATCACATTCCATCAACATTTCAATTCAATATTTGATATAAGATTTATATTACTTTAAAAGTCAGTACTAATTGACGATAAATTATTGATTAATAACCAAATAATTGATTATTATTACTGTCGTTTTAAAATTTTACAACTAGTTTTGGCGCCAATTAGTTATCGAAACATTAATAAGTGCTTTGAAATAATAAAAACTTCATTCGTAAGCATTAACCTTGTACGGGTGTCGTTTTTTTATTCTAAGTTGCTAATATTTATAATATAAGATTTAGTTGGCAGTAATTAATCTTTAATAAAACTATAATATTACGCACACGACAAACAGGTTTTATTTTACATTTCAAAGGTTTATTGATCGCACATCCAGGTTAATAGAGACAAGGTTCTACTAGTAAACATAAGGAAATTAAAAATACAATAGGGTAACAAACAAGCAAGCAAGAAAACAATTGCACCAAAAATAAAAAATAAAAACTCTTAGTCATTTGCTATCTTTATCATTTTCACGTAGGGTCAGCGCACCAGTTTATTTTAGATCTAGATCTATCTTCCGTGATTTCAAACACACTTTTTAATTGTAATTCTAAAATATATTATTAAAAGGAGTCCCTTAAGGCAAGGATCTGAAGATACTAGCAGCGTTTCCCCCTTTGATTAGCTAGATTAATTCTTTGTCTAAGGTTGCAGCCAGCTCTTCGGTCTCCTGTGATATCGACAAGTCATCCTAATGCATCGCTATTGCTAATACCCTCCCGATTCAGTCAGTTGAAGTAGCAATACTTAATGTTTTAATGGATTATAAGCGATAACAATTACCCAAAACAATGTCGTTATGTGGTTGAATGTTACGTCTGTAC